GTAGACGCCCAACTTCGAGATCAACAAGCTGGATTCCGTAAGGATCGGTCGTGCACAGACCAAATTGCAACACTACGGATCATCGTCGAACAATCAGTTGAGTGGAACTCATCACTATACATCAACTTCATTGATTATGAAAAGGCATTCGACAGTGTAGATAGGAGGACATTATGGAAACTTCTTCGACACTACGGAGTTCCTGAGAAGATTGTCAACATTATCCGGAACTCATACGACGGACTACAGTGCAAAGTAGTGCATGGAGGACAGCTGACAGATGCATTCCAAGTAAGGACTGGAGTCAGACAAGGCTGTTTACTCTCTCCCTTCCTCTTTCTTCTGGTGGTCGACTGGATTATGAAGACCTCGACATCTGAAGGAAAACACGGAATACAATGGACAGCTCAGAATCAATTAGACGATTTGGACTTCGCAGACGACCTAGCCCTCCTATCACGTACACACGAACAGATGCAGATGAAGACAGCCAGTGTAGCAGCAGTCTCTGCATCAGTAGGCCTCAGCATACACAAAGGGAAAACCAAGGTCCTCAAATTCAAAGCGGAAAACAGCAATCCAATCACTCTTGATGGCGAAACTCTGGAAGATGTAGAGTCCTTCACATACCTAGGAAGCATCATCGATGAACAAGGAGGTTCAGATGCAGACGTAAAGGCGAGGATCGGCAAAGCAAGGGTCGCATTCCTACAATTGAAGAACATATGGAACTCAAAACAACTTTCAACCAATATCAAAGTGAGAATCTTCAATACGAACGTCAAGGCAGTTCTACTGTATGGAGCTGAAACTTGGAGAACTACAACAACCACCATCAAGAAAGTACAAGTATTTATAAATAGCTGCCTACGCAAGATACTCAACATCCACTGGCCGGATACCATCAGCAATAGCCTTCTGTGGGAGAGAACAAACCAACTTCCAGCTGAAGAAGAAATTAGGAAAAGACGATGGAAATGGATAGGACATACATTACGCAAATCGTCAAACTGCATCACGAGGCAAGCCCTAACTTGGAATCCTGAAGGGAAGCGAAAAAGAGGAAGGCCAAAGAACACATTGCGTCGGATAATAGAAGCAGATATGAAAAGGATGAATTACAACTGGACGGAGCTAGAAAGGATTGCCCAGGACAGGGTTGGATGGAGAATGCTGGTGAGTGGCCTATGCTCCTTCACGAGGAGTAACAGGCGTAAGTAAATAAGCAAGTAAGTAAGTCAGAATAAAAGTCAGTGGCGAACCTGCTGTAACCTTCTTTTACTTTCTTCATAAAAAATGGTTGTTTCCTTCCTTAACTGAAAGATTTCTTCTGATTGTACTTTTCCGTTTCCCCCACTATTACTATGATTATTATTACACCACCTTACCCCAATCTCTTCGTTATTGTTTTTTTTTTAATTACTATTATTATTTCTTTTTTACGTTCCTCACTTTTTCTTTTAGATTCTCATTGTTTTGTGTCGCGCATACTCGCGCACTCCTGTTCCAATATATGTGTTCAAATAAATAAATAATAAATAAATCTCAGAGGGATCAGTCATTTTTCACCAGTTAGGAGTCTTCCAAAAACAGACCAAAAACCGGATTCAAAAACGAGCTAAGTCACATTAAGTTTTTAATACAAAAGAAACCTTCAGAAACTGTATGAAGTGTTAGTACTCATAAGCTTCATGAAATAGAACAGAAAGTGTATGGAGAAAGTGCACAGGAAAGCCATCTCTTAAAAGTTAATTTTGCCTTCGTCGAAGAAAGAAATCAATCATTCTGGAAGATTCACTTAAGCTGACTGGATCTGGAAAATATGTCCGTGTAGACCTCAGCCTAGCGGATCATATCAAGAGACGATCAGCGGAAGTAGAATTAAACAAGCACTGCTATGTGGTAAACGAAACAGTGTATATAGAATTAAAGGTATGCTATACAAATGTTCACAGCTTATTGGATAAAGTGTCAGAACTTGAAAACTTATTAGAGACAGAAAACAATTGTGTCTTTGCCATATTAGAAACATGGTTAACGTCAGGAATATGTGATGTAGTGTAGGCTACAATGTTAAGCCCACATAGTTTATTCTGGCTTCCAGACAAGCCAATTTATTCACCCTTCTTCAGTCACATTTTTACCTTATCAATCATTTGCTTATCAACCTTGACTGGTATTACGTAAGCGTATGTGTACACATATCCCATATTACTCATCACATGTTTGTAACTTATTTTTATTTGACTATAAATACTGATTAACAGCTGATTAAATGGAGTTAACTCACATGCCTTCTTCACCGCGTACCATCTCATTTCGCTTTGTTCGTCTGATCGTCTGCTTGGACTATTGGCTGAGTGAAATATACGTATTCGAAATCCAATCTCGTATAAGACTTACTTTAATACCATTATTCAGTGTAGAGAGTTAAGTCGTTGACTGTATACTGGGATATTCGACATATATATTTCATAATAATCATTCATACGATCAACCTGGAGTCAGATATAGGGCCACCATAATGGTGAACTTCAGTTGCTTGGTTTCTTGCATTGTGTCGCTAACAGAACAAACCGTACGCGAAAACTAACTTAACTATAGAGTCATCGAGAAACTGGTCCATGAATCAAGGGCATTTGAATTCGAACATTGTAGGCTGAAATTTAAACGCCAAGACATTGAATTATTTGTTGTACACAGCAGTCCAGAATGTGTAGTGAATGACTTCTTCCTAAGTAGAATTAAATCCTGGCTAAACAGGTGTGAAAACTTTATTATAGGTAACCTGGATGCGCCATCGATAAATTAAGGAACATAGAAGTATGGTAATTTAAAACATCGTTTTACTGCAAGTTGTTAGAAACTACAACCACCCTGGCTTTATCCCTACACATAAGAGATCCTACTAGATATGACCTACAGAGGTTATTATCTCTCTTTGATTGAGCCCTAACATAAGGCGATGATCTTTACTCCCGCCCATAGGACAAAGTGATCATGGGATCATCTTAACCAAGTTCATGACTGATATGGTCTGTCAGATAGTTGCGCCGGCCAGTCTTTAGATATGGAAGGCAGACATGGTGATCAACTCTGCGACCTCTGCCGAAAACTGTTCCCGATGCTACCATAACTTGATGATGTAAATATCTGGCGATAATTAACAGGAGACTCGGCTGTATTCGCATTTCAGGCGAACTTAGACGTTCTGGTTAGTCGGTCTAAAAATGGCTCATACATATTTGTGATACAAAGGTAAATAGGTACAGTATGGAGGAAGAGTCAGAGCTCGTAGTCCGGTTTCTTAATGATCTTGTGGTGACAGTGAATCATGATCTTAAGACCACGTACCACTGCCACGAGGTCTCAGATAAGAGCTTTAGAATCCTGTGGGCTTCAAGGCGGGTGATTATGCCACAGGCATTCGGAGTTTGACAACGCTTTAATGAGTAACACCTTATAATATGAAGCATACCCACCAAGTGAAATCAAAAGACAGAAGCGAGGAGGTTCGAAGATATATTTAATAGGCTATCAATACATCGAGGATCGTTTGATCTAATCTGGCTAGCGATTGTAGAGTTTGTTGAGCGCGACGTTCCCACTCGTGATCTGGTGCGGATGCATGACCGACAGCCTTCAGCTAGGTGAGTCCATTAAAAATAGTGTGGTCAGCATCCAATGTCGAAAACTTACAGAGCCATTTATTTTGGGGATTTGTTTACCGCTACACGGGCATTCATCAAGTCATACACTAATATGTTCACTACAGTAATCACAAATGGCCGCATTCTTACAGTTGAAGAACATATGGAACCCATACAACTACCGGCCAAGAGCGAAGACAGATATTTAATACGAATGTTAAGACAGTCCTACTGTACGGAGCTGAAACGTGGAGAACTACTAAGACCATCATCAAGAATGTACTAGTACTTACAAACAATCGTCTACGTAGGATACTCAATATTTGTAGGCCGGATACTATCAACGACAACCTACTGTAGGAGAGGACGAACCAACTTCCAGCTGAACAGTAAATGAAAAAGAGTGCTGGAAGTGGAAAGGGCACACAAGAATCATCAAACTGCACCACGAAGCAAACCGTAAATTTGAATCTTGAAGGGAATCGGAAAAGAGCATTACCGAAGAACACACTAAGTCGGGAATCGAAAGCAGACATGAAAGAATGAATAGCAATCGGAAAGGATTGCTTAAAACAGGGTTGGATGGAGAGCGTTAGTAAGAGGCCTATGCTCCTCCACGAGGAAAAACAGGCGTCAGGATGTAAGAAAGTACAGTATTCATAACCTTGGTGTAACTGAAACTTGAAAATTACATTCAAGGTGCTAGCCCTTGCTTAAAAATTACTTGTACATCCTGGAAAAAGTACAGAGTGAAGCTAGCTGTAAATTCCCAGAACCCCGGGGTTTACCATACAAAGAGCGGTTTGAGAAGCCAGATCTATTTACTCTGTCCTTGAGTAGATTAAGAGGTAATCTGATTTTGATTTATAGAATACTGTGTAGTTATTTTGGACCACATATATCCTCTTTTTTCTTCCTAGCGGATCAGGCCAACACAGATATCAGTGTAGGCGAGTACAAAATTTAATAACGAAAAAATACCTGTACCATACAGGTTTTCATACCGAGTTATCAGCTCTTGGAGCATATAACTACAAGAAGTGGTGTCCACCCCTACAGTTGACACATTCAAAAGGAGTTTAGACACTCTCAGAAGCTTACTAGAAAAGGACTGACAGGCCGTAGGCCCTGAATACACAACTCTGAGCCTAAAATTTGTCCAGTTACTTCTATGTAGTGTATATATTTATTCAAATGATTCATCACTGATGACATTTAAAAGTTCTCAGACCGAGTATAAGTAATTCTGGCGCAGCCCAAATCATTAAATAAGACATTTAGGCCAGACAAAATAAATTGTGTTGACCTTTACCACGGCCTATTATTTGTACCTTCGAAGGCTGATTCAAGGTCGGTAAGACCATAAGAGGTGGCTTCTTCAACGTCCCGGTAACCGGGGGATTTGTTTTATATATATATATATATATATATATATATATATATATATATATATAAAGTTAGAATGTTCCACATGTGAGAACCCACTGTCTCGTGTTTTAGCAATCTTAGAATTTTTTTAATCTAAATGCAAGCTTAATGCCTGGTTTCCTGCTGTTGTTTGCAATAATTTTGATATCATTGTTTTGAAAACAAAGTGCGGATTTGTTCCTGATAGATTAAAACCAAGCACATAAACCTAAGTCATTTGAACCATCACATTAAAATACGACAATAATTGTCTGGAATTTAAACTCCAAGGCTAAGCGAAATTCTTTTCAAATGTTCATAGTAAAACCGGAAAAGATGAGAAATAAGTCAAGAGTCATTAACACTCACATTCCAATACTACAGATTAAGAATGTAAATGACTGAAAACCACTTCATGAAGTACCACTGCAGTGGTACATAAATCCGTATGAAAGAAAATAACTGATGGACTTTTCGTTATGTTGCTCAGATAGGGTGAACTTAATATATGGAGTCAAATCCTAATGATACAGAAACTAGAGTTGTTAGACTTGATGTAAAAACTCGTAAACAAACGTTAACAAAATATTTGCCGATAAAGTTGCTTAGGAGGACTGTCACGTATGCTGCAATGACACGTAAAGTATAGTTTCTTGGTCAAGTTGTTTTATGTTGGGTACCTAAACTATTAGACAGGAACTGCACTTTTAACACGAGATAGAAATAACGTATAATATTGTGATGTAATTTTTTAAACGTTTGTATACTCTTATTTCATATGCGACTCCGATTTCAGATGTCTTTGAATGTCGTTAACCAGATTATATCACAATTGACAAGCCATGGAACATTTAACCAGGTTTTCAGAGGAATCCAAGCTGTTTCAGTAACAGATAATTGCCTGACATGTAGGTTCAAAGTTACGAATTCTGAAGCCAATTCACTAAACACTTTACATGGTGGATACATCCTTGGGGCTATCGACTTTATAACTTCTGTCGATCTGATGAGATTAGGGTGTATGAAGCACGTCAGCGTTAATCTTGAAGCATCGTAAGTCATTGTGTGCGTATATATTCTAACTTAAATTACCGAAGATTTATAAACCCAGGAAAATTGGACTCATGGATTAGGTCAGATTCATATGTACTAAAGAAAGGGAAGCGTATGGCCTTCTGTGAAATCAAATTCGTGAACGAACAGTCAGGAGAACTAGTTGCACGTGGGACTCACACGAAATACATAATAGACGAGATGAACCTATCTCCTAAGAAGTAGTATTGTTAATCTCTCGTTTCTTCGATCCTTCTTTTGCTTTATGATATGTCACGGTTTGTTAGAATAAATAAGTTGGATGTTTGCTTCTTCAGTCGAACTTTTACATAGCTGGTTGGTTGTACACTTATAAGTCAAGTTGTTATCATTCATAATACGTCAAAGCCTATCTTTTGCTGTTAAACTCAGCATCTACATTTTACTCATAAAAGGGAATTTATATTAACCATTCTCATAATAAGCATCACGCATATTTCACTTTTATAAAAGTGTTGATATATACGTATTTTTACGCATCCACCCCGAGTCCAGATATGGCAAAAGCATAACTATAATTTTTGTATTTACAGGAATTACTGATGTATGTGAGATGGTTTCTTATTACAGAGGCGAAATTCTGGTTATGTTTTGTACCCGGTGAGTGTAAAATGATACGAAGGACTGGTCCGCTCATATACTTAGCTTGATGATAGAAAATAAACCTGTTGAATACTTCAAGTTTTTATGTTGCGTTAACTAGTTTACGCTGTATACGGTTTTGGTCAATTATTAAAAAACATGTCTCACTTTGAGCAGTCCACCCAGTAGTTGTAGAGTATGGGAGCTGGACATAGATCTAAGGTGCAAGTATTTAGTTAGTTTTAAGTTACTGCACAAATGTGGTAGAACAACATCAATCAGACGACAGCTGTGAGTGAGAAGCGACTTAGCCAGTGTGACTGAGTAGTCCGTTATGCTTATCGTTACCAATCTACTCGGACGAATTACGATTACGCTGATAAAGCGCTTAGATCGTGTGAAAAAACCAGCACCACTCATTTACACCTATTCCGGTTTTGCGTACGGCAAATTTACAGGCTATCAAGAAAGTTGGTGTTCATTAGACGATTCAAAACCTATCAAGTGTTTGAATTTGCCCACCCCCAATTGCTTAGTTTTTGAGCAAACTTCCGCTATTCTAGATGAATAAAGCAGTGGGGCCACATATTCTCAGTCCAAAAATCCCCTGCCAGACATGTCTGACTTCCTCCCCGTGTTAAGACAAAAGTCACTTGCATTGATATTACAAAAATATGCTGTCCTAGCTCATGTACACAATATTAGTACGGATTATGAGTGTACGTCCAAAGTCCCAATGACAGCTAGCACATTAAAAAAGTAGTTTACACAAGTTTAATATGCATAAAGCATTTATTAAGAATGCAAAAATGTAACTGGAGAAGAGCAGCATCGGAGCTGCTCAGACTGTACAAGGATTGATTAATTCTGGGCTACCACCGACTGTATCCAGTCCATGGTGGTTTGCTTCGAGAAGGGTCTTGTCGGGGATATTTTCTCATATGGTCAGGCGGTTGACCAACAGGTCCCATTGGAGGTGGACGTTTATGTGGAGGGACAAAGTTAGGAGGGAGCGGATGTCGAGGATCAGGGTAAAAATCTGGGTGTGGCGGCCTGTGTTCTCGCGGAGGACGTCTAGGCGGACCCTGGGGATAGTCTAACCGATCAGGAGTGTTTCTGTTATCTGGCCATCTCCTACCCCAACTATCTTCATCATAGTTCTGCCTCATCGGTGGAGGTCGATCACCCCTTCGGTCGTAAGGATATTTCTCCATATTAGGAGAAAATGGTCGACCCCTTTCTCCTGGATGCATTTGATCGTTAGGAATCATTTGACGATTATGATGGCCATATGATCCACTGTTGAAGCCACCAGGAGGTCCATTATAGTAATGGTCATTTTCAGGGAAAGGTCGGTTAAATTGCTCGCTGTGTTCATGATCTCTGTAATCTCTGTCTTCTCTATGCCTGGGAAATGGCTTTGATTCCAAAAAGTTTTCTTGTTCGTTATACAGTTGCGGAGGCCCACTGAACGGCTCGCGGTATAGATTGTTTGGTTGTTCGGTTTGTAAAGGTGCGTTGTGTTCAGTTTGTAAAGATAGTTCTTCATTTCGTTGATTCCAGTCTAATGATGGATCTAAAACAATAGTTGAACGCAATGCGATTCGTAAGCACAGAAATAATAATACAAATTTCCTACTTTTTATCTATTAAGCTAAGCAGATATCATACAGATAAACTTACTCGAGGATCTGTAAAACTTTATTATGTAACATTTGAATACAATATGAAGAATGAATGCAGTTCAGATCATGAATTACATAGGACTTATCACCTAGTACCAATCCCAAGAATAGGAAATGTTTTAACCACACTAAACCACAAACAAAAGCAGACTACACCTCAGTTATCTACTGGTAGGGGAACACTCGATCTCATTACCATTTGGCAATAACTGTCCTATCTCATACATGGACAAGTTGAATGGTGATATGCTTAAAAAAGCTAAGATAACAAAAAGTACCAACACATACCATGTACTAAAAATATTCTGCATTGTTTTATTTGTACTACCTAAACTTGTGTTCATTTAGTTCGGTTGTTTATTTACTCTGAAGAACTGGCTTACATTAAGTCACGAAACTTCATAAATACAATTTTTCTACTCATTGGGATATGACAGAGAATATTTTTATTAAATATCATGTTTGTAATTTTAAAGATCACCACTGCAGGTAGTTCTTGGTGTGATTTAAAAAGTTAGCTGCGCTAGCGGAAACGAGACTAAATGGCGGTAGTCTTATAAGTAAACTAAACAACATATGGATGCATAATTCCTAGTTACTTTTGTCTCACTTGGTGTTGTTTATTTCTTGGTACCTTGAGGCACGAAGCAACGCGCTTTTGATGGTCTAGTGTTAGTAATGAAAATGAATCAAAAACCTAGTTACCTCTATAGTGCAAGCGGGGATTGTTTCAGATGGTTAAGATTTGGATAATTACATTACTTGAAGTAGGATGGGATCGATAGTATTATATGACAATCCATTCTGTCAGATAATATAAAAATTCAAAGTACTCACTTGTATTATTTCTGATGTCTACATTATGTTCAGGAATCGGTACATGTTGTTCCAAACCCCTCGGTGGCAATGGTTCTGAGAAAGGTGGTTGGTCATACTTATGGTGGAAACGCCATTATTCATCTCACTAGCTGGTTGCTCAACAAAGGGTGTTTGGTTGGGCTTACAAAAACCTCTGTCCTGTATTTGATCTACAATAGCTTCAGGTTCTGACGGGTTGATTGGGGCAGCACTTTGCGCTAGCCTTTCTTTATTCAAAGCGGGTGGTTTAACTGGAGGCAAATACTGCGGCGTTGCATTAAGATTGCTGACAGCAGCAGCCGCCGCTGCGGCTGCAGCAGCGATTGCTGACGGACTAGGTGTGGCCATCATCACAGTTGGCATTGCTGTGATCCGTGTACTTGCCCAATTGGCAGCAAATTCCTTTGGAATAGTTCGAGAACTCCGAAGTTTGTTTTTCTCACGCTCTTCAGGATCATCAGTATCAGTTATGTTTAGTCTGTTACCGGTCCTTCATTAAGTCCGGGTATTTCAGTTGTGCTCAAGTCATTTGGATTAGTAGAAAATGCTAAATCATCAAGAGTATCTATCCGGTTGGAGGAGATAGGTGTCTCCGTGAGTAATTTAAACAGGTCAATATTAAATGAATTATCGACTACTTCTGGGTCTCCAAATGAATATGTGTTAGCTAACAAATTTGTTGCACTGACGGCTTGAACAAGGTTATCTGGACCAACTGCACTAATTGTATCTTTGAGAACATCACCTGGCCGATTGCGCGTCCAGAATTTTCTAGAAAGCAAGAAATGTTAAGATTGAAAGCCCTGAGTATGAAAAAATTGATAATATTAACCAATTTAAACGCGAAACACGATTGACTTCGCTGCTGGTTGTTTGCACTAACTAGAACATACTTTAAAGAGACGAAAGTTACCAGAAGACGAAAACAGTAGAGTACAGACGCGAATGAAATGAAAGTTATTGCAACAAATAATTTAAAGGTTAAAGAAAGTACATGAACGGTTTAAATATGTTCATTATTTGTAGCTACATAAAAAACTCCCATTTTATGGGCTTTTATGTTTTTCTTCAATTGATTTTTTAACCCGCCACCTGAGTTGTCTTGAGATAACTAGCTAGGAAGCTTACATATCCATTACAAGACGAATAGCGAAGTTATCTGTAAGTTTTTAAGTTCTTGCAGTGTGATGCATTGACTATTTCACGGCTATCCACCCATCATCGAAGGCGAAAGGGATTGGTTAAGTTACGTAACATATAATTATGAAGAATACAGGAACTTATTTAACAGGTTGTTCGGCATTGTACACCAATTATATATATAGCTAATCTTAATCCGTAGTTAAATCAAATGTACACTACATCCAAAAGACTTGGATCGAACAAAGATATATAGGAAGTAACTAACTAATTACTAGGAAATATCAGTTAGTAATTAAACAATAATCTTAATATCAGAAAAAAGTATGACCCTATAAATAAAGACATTGTTACAAGCTGTTTGAAACTGAGAATTCTATTCTGGTCTTAATCTCCACCTACCTCGACGGGCGATGTTGTTTGGTGCAAAGCTAGAGCGGCCAATCCAAGACGTGTCACTGATAAGCGCATGAAGTCATTGATAATTGAACAGCGCCATGTTAACACGTACGGGCTACTTGATTGGGATTTGCGTGATTATCGTAACCAATGGCTAAACATGCCTCAAAATCGTTTGCAGTGGTGCAGATGCATTCATTTTTTGTCTTCCTTAGATCCCAAATATCTAAATTCGTCATTTTATTTCATCAATTTACATTTTCTTGAATCGTATCTTCGTTGCCTAATCTTTTTTATTACCACTAATATCGTCAGTACCCATACTAATATGGGATCTGTGTGAACAATTTCATCTCGTGTGCTAATGTAGTATGGGAATTTGAACCGATTTACACATGTACCAGGTTTTAAACTGACTCTGATCTTATTAATCTGATCAAGTCACTACAATTTACAATGGTATTTTATCGCATAAGAACTTTAAGTGATGAATCATATAATTTTGAAAAGTACTTACGTGGCAAAATCATTTGCCCCAGAAACTAAAATATGTCCAAACGGATGCCAAGCGAGACTCCAAATCATGCTTTCATGAGCGTTGTCTACAGCTCCAAGTTCAGTATCCGTCCTATTTTGGCGAATATAATATAAATTTTAAAACCAACAAGCTTTACAAACTATTAATATAAAAATTAGTCACTGCATGTAATTACTTCTCACTTAAGTTTAACAGATAATAACTGGTTGGTGCAGTTAAAAACGTCTGAAATAGTATAGCACGTATACTATGCAATAACTATTGATATAAAGCATTGGATTTTGATAAGTGAATTGTAATTTAGACCGAAAGCTCTGCATAAACAGCATTTTCTTAGTCTAATGCTTACAAAGTTACATTATAAATCATTTATAGTATGCTAGACTGTCAAGGGGTTAACTAGAGAAGCAAAGCAACAATTGCTCGTGCTGTAACACGACGAAAACACAATGTAATCGCAAGAAATCAGGTGTTACTCATCAGAAACTTTATGGGCGAGGTTTTACAGCTGTGCTTCAACTTGATTTTTAGGAAAACAGCTTCTGATAACTCTTTCCGATGATAAACTAACAACTAACTGGAACTATTGGTTTTCCAACCGAAACACATTACTAGTACATCTCGATATATTTGGTACATTTTTCACTCAAACAACTGTAGTTCTCCAATCGGAACTAAACCTATGAACACCGTTGTTTAGACTCTTTAAGCCAACTCAGGTTTCCGTTTGATGATCTACTCTTACAAAAACCAAATACATAAAAAACAAAATGCTTAGTTCCGAGTCAATAATTACATTTACTAAGTGGCATTGGAGTCATGCATGGTATCAGAGATAATCAAAATATCTGATTTTTAAAAACTCAAGATTGTGTGGTTTTGTATTGCAGTTTATACTGCTGAAGTATAGTATGAAAAGTCACTGATAAATAAACGTTAAAGAAACAACAAATACTTCAGGAAAAGTTAAAATCGCTGAGAAATTCACATTCTCTGCCTTAAATCTGACCAATTTTATGGATTACTAATTGTAGAACCTTATGAGAAATTAGTGAAAAGAATACTCTTCGTTCATATAATTGTTTTAAAAAATTAAAGGACTTACCCAGCGAGCCAGTAAAAAATAGCACCATCAGCACTACCACTTACAAACAAGGATTCATGAAATGGATGCCATGCAACACGCATGACATCACGTTTATGACCCGAAAAGTTTGTAACTCTGATTTAAGATTGCGTAGATCAAATAATTTAATCAAATGATCTCTGGATGCAGTTAAGAACCAGTTGCCATTATCATTCCAAGAAACATCTGTACATGTATTTTTATGTACATACCTATAAATGAACCATGTTAAGTGTAATTAGTGATACCCATAATTTTGTTTCGTATATTACCGATGTATAAAAAAAGTCAAATTGCTCAGAAATATTATAAAACACCTAGTCAATGTGCAACTTTGAATTAGGAATCTGTCTCAGTTCAAGTGAACTTGTTCAGAACAGGTTTACAATGTGGCATACTAGATGTTAATCCCGAAGATCCTGTGATCAGATACTTGTGACAATACATACTTCCACTGGAACAAATGAATTTTGCATAATAATTGCCCACACAGTTTTAAAATATCTTGGTTGACCACCATACAGTTAAACGAAAAGTATTTTTTTAGTTACTCAGAAGTATACTTTGTTACGTAAGGCTTTCATACTTGGGAACACTTCCTTAACGCGATTTTTATCAATGACAGAATTAGATCATAATACGCCCTTTTACCAGAGACCATATGAACTAAACCAAACTTAGGGTACATATCAACAGTTCAGCAAACACTTAATAGCACCTTTTGCACTAATTCATTGAGGGAAACCTGAAAATTATGATGTAGACTGTACTATGATAACAAACAACCCTAAATTCCAGTAAGTGCATAGTAATTCAATTTGAAGGCACTAATCTTTAAAACCCAAATCCAAACCCCGTAAAATGAGATGACTAATAATCATATCGTGTTGCTCTACAATTAAGCTTGATAAAATACCATATCAGTCATCAAACCTAATCACTGATCACAGGTCATTTGGTTTTAAAAATAAGGGATTCGGAAATGTTAGCAGATAAATGCAACTATTACACCTAACGAAGTGAGGGAAATATTAGTATGCCGAATAGTCAAACTTTTTTGTCTTAGAAATTGTTTAAATATAAGCATATCAATATCTCGGTAGTGGCTTTGTTTATTTAGAGATAACTTACAATGTAGATACAGATTCGCCTGTTTTGGGATCCCATAATTTGATAGGTTGTTGTGCATCTTTGCTACCAGATATTATAAGAGAAAGGACAGGATGCCATGCTACACTACGAACATCAGAACCGTGACCTAAAAGAAAAACATGTTTCGTATGTTTTACTACACATAGAACCTATATTATGTCGCAGTAGATGGTAACACTATCTCTACTAAAATGAACACTTATTGAGAAAGAAGTTATATAATAAATAAAATGAATGTTTATTGACAAAATAATGCAGCTGAAAATTTAAAAGTTAATATAAGAGGTCAACTTTAAAAACGAGCAGTTGGTAAACAGAGGATCATTTGGTACATTTTTATTTGAAAAAACCAACTGGATATTCTTCCCAAAAATTAAGTAGAGTGGACAGTTAAAACTGATATGTTAGATCATAGACTGTGTTGTAGCATGGAGAAATCAAAGCAAGCATAATGGGTACATAAATATGATCGTATGGGAGAATAATTAGGCATCATAGATGGTCTTTTTTAATTATTTGAAGCACGCTTCAATCTCCTTTCATATTCCTTTCTGTACCATATTTCATGGTAAAAACTCATCAAATTTTACTTTGTATGGCGGACTATTCAGTTTTACTGAGTTAACATTGAAGCTGAACATTAGACAATTTTATGGTTTATAAACTGAGAATCCAACGAAGATACTGACGGAATTAATTCTAGTGGATATTGTTCTATCCGTGTCATTCACCTTTGTCATGCTGAAAATGTTTTGAACATCAAGATAACCCAAGCTAAATAATGAAGGGATCATCATGGTGAAAGCAGACCCAACGAAAGTTCACTTCCTTATAGTCTGAGGTCGTCTGAAATGCATGTAGAACGGTTTACTAAACGTAGTTAAAAGTATGAAACTGTTTTCGTCTAGGTGTTCTTTGCTATTATCTTAGAAAACACCAAGTCAATGACAACCTGACTGAGAGAACATTCAATAAACAAGGATATCTGTCTGTTGTTAATACTACAGTTGCCGTAATCTTACCTGTGAATATTAGTTACTGGAGAACATTAATTTCGCAAAATTCCTACAAGAACAGATGTGTATCACTTAACGTTTTAACGCACGTAAATAATATCAATCACATAGATATTAGCGTTGACACTGAATACATAAAAAGAAACAGGAATTGTGAGCCGCATTCCTGATACCGAATTTCGATATCTTCAAAAAGCAGAAAATGATTACTAATTACCAAGTAAATAAGACTTCTAATGGTCACCAATCCACAACTAGTTGGTATGTTAAAACTTCTCCAAATCAACCAAAAATCATTCGTTTGCTTTTAATCACAGAATTTTAAACTTTTTTACTAAGAACAAGTATTGCATGCGAACAGGAAAACAATATTACAATTTTATCCAAACAATTACATGGAAACTAGAACTAACTCCTCCTTTTTAAGCTTCCAACATTGATCTATTCATGATAAATTTGTTAACACAGTGCTTAATATCATGTCTAAGAATGATTGTCAACAACTTAAACCCATAAACACACACAGACAAATTCAAACGGTAACTGATTTAACAACCTAAAGCACTCTCAGTGGATGGCAAACACAGCTCTATTCCGACTGAAACTGCCACAACATACGTATATACCCCCCCCGAGAGAACTTATTTTTAGTGTCAACCTTCAGCTACGTAATTATATATAGACAAGTCATTAACTTTGTCTTGATTTTGTCAAAAACCAATACGCAAACCTTCACCACTATTGACTATATTTCGGGTTGTTGAAACACGGATTTTTTCAAAAAGCACCGGACTTCTTGACGGAGTTGAAGCAAACATATGAAACCGGAATTTCATGTATTAACGATTGCTATCAATTATAACCATAAATTTGCAAACGACTCGTCCAAATCGCATAATCCTTATTTGAATTGCATTCTCCAAGGCTGATAAACATAAAAACTGGTTAGGAATGTAGTTAATTGATTTCATTTTGAGGCGTATGTTGGCAAGACAATTTTAACCGTACTCACCTCGGAGCACGCGCTCCTCAGCACAACGATGAAAATCCCAAATACGTACGGTAGAATCATCACTGCAGGTAACGAATTTATTGTCGAATGGGCAAAAACTACAAATGATAAAAGAGTATTTCATTAAGATTTTATTTCCTACACTTCCGATTCATAAGCTAGTCCTGAAAAACAAGTAAAAACCTCTAGAGAAGATAAGAATGGCAGCTTAAGTGGCGTAAATCTTCAAAATGATGAAATCATTGTACACCCTGGTGATATTAAAACTGAGCTACTTAACGTTAACAAACATTTTTATTAACTCCATGAACGGAATGAGCAAACTGAAACGACAATGAATTTATCAACTCAAAGTGGTGGATGGACGGGCATTCAATCCTAGTCATCTAAAAAACGACCACAAGCTTAAATTAATTGAATATCAATTCAGAGAACTTTCCTACGATCCATGGACTATATTCATTTTTCTGAAATAACTTGGAAAGACCAATATATTCTAAAGGCGAACATATACAAAACCAGTGGCTTAAAGATATACATTCATAACTACCTGTTTGAATTGGTGTTGATAACTCTGGTAACAGCGTATAGTAAATGAATATACATGACAAAACTGACACTGTTCATCTAGAAAGTAAGGGTTTAAGGGAAATTTCGGAATACGTACAGACGGCTAGAGTAAAATGTCCAAAATTAGATCTATTACAAACTCTAATCTGGTATTTGGATGAAGAAACAAAACAGTATTATTGTCGATTCTGAAAAACCAAAGTTTAGGAAAACCAAAGAAAAAAACAAAACTTTAACCGGAAGGCCTGGTGACGAGGAGTCAGTTATATTCCGTAGATCAACATGATTTCTGAAATAATACTGTTTAGATAATTTATTTCCGTTTACACCACTAAAAGATTGGGACTAATACGTTAGAAGTTGAGTGACGCTCAAAAACCCTCGTATTTACATTTCTACAAACGTATAATCAAATATTCGGTATTATAACATAAACGAGTTGATGTCGTTATATAAACGAGCCAAATATATATCGATTGCAAAACAAAAAGCTATTAATACGTTAAACGGTGGATGATTTATTCTGATGTATGAAGCAGTAGTCATAAACAAAAGGTACAAATTAAGGGGTTAAAAACGGACTGTAGAAATATTAAGAGTAATACTGTACAGGAGATGGATTTCAATCAATTGGACAAAACACAAGACAAACCGTTCCATTCATCGATGGTAAACAAATAATGGTTACCTATATCAGTCAGTCAGCTACGATGGACAAGACACATATATGCACCGATCCAAGTTGGCATACCGCATTAGCATATCAAGATGAACACCGGATTCATAGTAGTCAAGTCGCTGAGAGTAATATATCCTGATAGTTGAAGTGAAAATACGATGAACCTACACTTCATTTAACTCCCTTATATGCTAAGCGTGCCTCACGAAAAATGAGTACTCACATATTCAGAAGCGCACAGCTATTGACCCGTGAAAGCAAGTAACTCAAACTATAACTATCATATATTCTTGTTTTCAACCTTGCAATGCTAAACTTTGCTAGTTTAAATGACAGAATACTTAGACCGTAAACCAGCTTCTATACTACAACTTGAGTATAACGAACTCGTTTACAGCTCACTATTATAATTTTGACAGCCGGTTTAACAGATTCTAAGAAAATCACTGCACACAGTGGATACATTTAGACTGCACCGCCTTTATTATGATCCTAAAGAGATACATTCAAAGAAAATATTGGTAAATATCAGTTAACTAAGTCATTGGATCTGGTAATTACAGATTAGAAAACATTTCTGACAATCAACTAAACAATAGCTGCTATCGCGCTTAATTTTACTCACAAAGCACTTAAGCCTATCAAGTAATACCATTCAGAAATATTTTAATATATTTGCCTGTTAAACATGAACCATTTTTTAGCTCCAAGAAAATGTTTTAAGTCACACGTATTTGTTATTAAAACTCTTCTGCGTCTCGAAAAGCCAAGTAATAAAGTGAATAGATCTCTTACAATCCTAATAACTTAACCGACTTGTGTCTTAACACTCCCCAATTTTATCAAAATATCCCCGTAGAAGTAATATAAAACTGGAACTACCCAAGCTAGGAGCAATATATATAAGACCTTTATTAGGCCTACAATTTCACAACTGGTGTATTTTGTGCTTAAAAATAAACAGTACAATTTTGAAAACAAATCTAGACATTTGTTAAACGTCATAGTTTTATGTAGAGTTAAAGTTGTTGAAACTGAACAAGATGATTCCAAATCAGGAAAAGCGTACCTTACGCCACGAATTGGTTCCTTATGTGCTTGATACATTTCAACATTGTTCATATTAGCTTGCCAATACTTTACATATCCAGAATGATCAGCAGTGAGTAACCATTCTTCGTTGTGAGACCATTTCATACAACGGATTTGCGATTCATGGGCCTGTAGTAAAAAGTATAGCTCAATAACTCACTACATAAATCTCACCGTAAATTAAGAAATAAGAAACTAAGATGGTTTAATCAATAAGTAATGAAACGACACTTGTGGAAGAAATATTTGAGTAAACCTTAACATTTTATAACGCCCGAAACAAATCTGTTAGAAATAACGGTAACTTTTATTTTCAAAGACAAGCCTAGTGCAAATACCAAACAGAACTACGCGCAAGGACCCTTCGGGAATGAAAGCTTCTATAAAGATACATTTGTGTTATACATAAAATATGTAACTTAATAAATATGTGGATATGCAATTTAGGTTATCACCCTAAGTAAGCATTTACACAGGAAAACGATACTACAATCTAATAGAAAGCTACTTAACATCTCTCCGAAAAAAGGTTTCTGACAGTGACGAAGAATTACCGTTATTTATCCTAGTCAATCCATTCGAGTTGCATAGTATACGCGCAGTCCGAGAACAAAACAGAGGTACTCTGATAAGTACAACCAGAAACACCCTCTACAAGAGGTTCACCTTTTCAAAATGTTAACCCGAAATTCTTTAAGTGGTATTTCCTAATCATAAAATGTGATATGATAAACATGCTTGATAGATCTTTCGGGCCAGGAGTGGAGCGTAAAAATACATGAAGATCACATCCTACGCGCAATTCTAAATACCGATGTTTTACTAGTCTCACAAAAAGATATCTCCGAGTAGAAATCTGGTCGGGACAGCAGGTCTCAGGTACTAATGACTTCCCACGGAATTTATACAAGTAGACCCCAAGTATATTAAATAAGAACCTACGTAGGAGGAAGCCGTCACACTTTTAGTCAGAGATAACAAGCGAAAACAAGGATAAAAGAAACATGATTTCAGTCCCGACTGCAACTGCTTACTAATACCAGTAGTAAAATTTTGTTAGAATAAAACATGAATGAATGAAGACTGAAGCTCATGGAATTATATATATAGGTACATCTGGACAACTGATTTATACTGTCGTTCTTAGTAAATATACAAAAATAGATTGTCTGGCAATTGAACAGCGATCATAAAAAAGAAGCGGCCTACAATGGAATAGAGGAACTAGTAGTAACAAATAAAGCATCTCCTGGTTACATGGTGGATATTCATTATAAGCACGAATCCGACGGATAAGTTAGTACCATGGGATCTTTCATAATACAAGGTTAACAAGAATGATTTTTAAAAGATCGAATAAACATGTGATGAAAGGAATATTAGGACCGATCGGAGTGAAAAACAACCTAAGTTCTAGATATAATATGAACCTGAGACGAAGAGTATGTGACAAGACTAGTCTTACATTTCATCTAAACAGTGAGTTGGGATTAGAGCGGAACCGAACATTCAAATAACAATGAAACTAGGAGGCAATTGTGGGAACCACTGCACTGGAGACAAGGTATGCAGTACTTATTCTTGTAAGCCGTTTACACACTGGAACATGGAATAGAATAGGTGACATTAAGCATTAGTTTCTACAACTGAAGCTATGAAACACGTTTAATGACAGTGGAGATTCTAGCACCAAACTTAGTGTCCACAATGAGAATATAATAGTACACAGTGCCGTAGCGTATTGTCAGTTCGAACTAGCCCTGCCATAATGGGCATGATGATTATTCAACAATGTTCACGAAAAGCTAACTGGTGATATCTATAAACTTGGTAACTGACTAAAGATTCATTCGGGATCAAAACGACTACAAAACAAGGCCCTTAAATTCGTCATGAACGCGAACAAATAAAACGCCTCACCTGCAAAATAGTCTCAAAATTGAACGTCAAACCGTTCCACAAAGTAAATTCACCACTGAAAGCTCCTGTTATCAACCGCCTCCCCTCAGGTGTCCACTACGAAAGTGAGAAAAATGTTTACTTACACAAACGCAATATATAGGGCATTTATTCTTATTAGTAGATGTACGAACAGGTTTCGACATGACGCAATTCATGGGAGAATCCATGTAGCTCCTAGGAGGACACAACTGAAAAGTAGGAAAAACACTACCTAATATTACCTTAGGACTCCACAAGTAATCCGGCTGAAGCATTGGACGGTCTAAGTCCCTACTGACCCAAATTCTGTTTTGAAGGTAGTTGATAGCAGAAGCATTATAATCGATTGTTCGTCTGAAAACTGCTTTCCTTGATTTACGTGCATCTGCCATCAAGTCAGACACATCTTTCTTCAAAGCATTCGGGTCGCCAGAAGGAGAATCCGACATCCCAAGGTTTTCCAGCATCGATCCGACGAAACCACCAGTTTATTAACGTGATGAGAACATGTAGTCGAATACGTAGTCCCTAAGGTGACAACGAACCCGCCAGGAAAAGCAATGACTGAAGTTAAACATAATACCACCAAGTTATCAAAGCCTTGCGGAAGTGTTAAGTATATGCATTTCCTTCAATATTTAATGCCAAAGATTGCACACAACGTGCTACATATCCTTCCCAACTAATATCCAGCTTAGATCAAACGCTTCTCAGCATATCGACAAACTTCCAACTATGTTTTCAAACTCATTCACCCCTAACTTCTGATTTGACTGTGTCAACATCCTTTGATTATAGACGTGTCACAGGAAAAAAGCGTCGTCAAACCCTGAACATCAGTCGCATCGTAAGTAGTGAGTTCGACGTGAGCTGATACACCAAACGATAAAGTATGTCTTTTCCCTACTGTGACACTATATTTTTTTTCTACACATCGTTATGTTATTTTTGTGTCCTCGGATTAGCTCGTACGATCACAGCTTTTTATTACTGTTTCGAAACACACACTCAAGCCTTCAAAGATTGAGACTCTTACGTCCACAATTTTCAACTCATCCCACCCTACCTTGTCAATATTGCAGGCTGGTTATGTCAACCAGAGGCTGATTTCCACGAGGACGGCGTGATAGACTCACTTGCGCCACTCCTTGCAGTGACGAAGGCACCAACTTCTCGCAAATACTAATGATCGTCTGGAGAGTCTCCGACTCACTGGCAGCAGACGGGAAACAGATCGCCACATACAGCAAAAGGCACCTTTACCTTGGCATGGGTCTGTAGTGGTATTGGATTCTAACCACACAATTCTTGAGGCCAAACAAATATTTACTGAGAGATTTCATATTCAGAGATCAATACAAAAGGAAGGTCAACAATGGTGAACGCGGGAACATTCATTCAGTCGGATGGCATGGTTCAGCCTCGCAGACGTGGTCATTCTGTATAACTTGTCTTTATTATCATTAAATATATCGTCCTATCTTCAGCCCAAATGAGTTCTTTAAAAATAATAGACGTTATATTGCTGATACGACGAGTCAGTGCAGATAATAATGGGACTTCTACGTAAGATCTTGTAGATTAGGTAGTCACATTATGATAAATCTACGCCTTTAGGATTAGGTCTAGAATTATCACGGTACTAATAGCAAACCACACCACAATTCTACAGGCCCACTCGGCCCCATTATCAATGGGCTGGTGAGTTTCTATTGACAGTTGAAACTGAATTGCGCGTTTCACATGAAAACATTGACAGATCAACGTCATGCAGATGTAAAAATTATCGACTCGGTCGAAGAATCATAGGTATCATCCTCTACATATAAGGAAATTATTCTAAAATCAGTTATGCTCGCACATCGAGACACGAAAACATACACTAATGTCCCCGTAGGTAATTGGAATACAGTGGTTCCTGCCTTTCTTTTAAAGGATACTAATGCTTGCAACGCATCCAAGGATGAACTATTATGCCGCTCAAAGTCAAAGTTTATGGAGAATGTCTTAAATCAGTGTATCTTCAGTAAAGATGCCTCGTATTTGACACCTTAAGAACTTACGCAATGCTGAATACTCCGGGGCGTTTTATGAAGTACTCACTTAATCTCAGTTATAGCGCGAATCTTGTTGAGCAGTACCCAGAACTTAGAGAAATAACATGGTAAATTGAACCGTTAGTACATTTTCTCATTACGACTAGTCACGTTCTATGGTTCGCTGACGGCTGAGGCGATTCAAGTGACCTCATTGGGAATTAACACTAACCGCATGTCACACTTTTTTCCGAATTTTCGCCAGTTATACTGGCGACCATGACTATGCATATACCAGCTACTGACGAGGAATTCATCCTCAAAATAGTTCGTTCACTAACTTATATGTGGTTATGAACAGTTTCCGAACTGTTATAGCGTTAAGATCGGTGGCATTCAGCAAGAGTAAAGAAGGAGAGTTCATGATGGTGTAGATTGAAGATTTTTTGTAGGCTGACTATGGTTCACATTGGATGACAGGCGTACGCGAACGGGAACCAATATCTTAAAGAAATGTTGAAACCATATTAATGGGAAGCATTTTGAAGTTTACATATCCTGATGAAAGATCCCATTATTTCGTGAAGTGTATTCACCATACTATTACCATCACTACTATTATTCACAAACAGCTCATCAGTGTTATGAAGGAGCCACATTGAGTTTCTTCAGAAGTGTATTAGTATAGCAGTAATGGAAGTGTTATCCCTCCTTCAATGAGATAACTCGCAACTACACACCCATCTCACCCCAGTTTTCTGTCGTGAATCACTGTGTATCCATCATTTAAATGAGCGAATACGTCTCATGAAGATGACCGGTTTGGCAGCCGCACATTTATCCAGTCTTAAACTACGCAGTCCCATGCCGTTCATCCCTGTTAGTTCCAAAATTGTGTCAACAGATATTTTGTTAAGTCCTGAAGGCTTAATTTTCTTTAAATAGATACCTGTCATGAGCGCATTACTACACCTTTTATCAACAATACGATTTCGTATAGCCCACAATGAACCAAAGTGAAAATTGCCCGACTAATGTTTGACATATCTCGGCAGATTACCTTTCAATTTAAAATGGTAATAAACCCCGCTCCTAGTGAACCTAGGTGAAACTCTTATGTATTGTACGGAAAGAGAACAGTGAAAATCCCTCTTCAGCTTCTTTGTCGAACAGTATTTTCATTTATTTGTTCCTTCTCCCTTTGTGTATTCCAACCTTTGTTCTGATCTCGTTTAGCCATGTCTTTTGTTCTTCAGTCTTCCCCGTTTGAGCCTTTATTATGAGATTTTGATTAAAGACTTATTTTTTGTTACCTAATTTTCTACTGCATGTTGCCGGACCATTGACAGTAAGGTCGTGTTTGACTTAGCTCAAGGTCACGGCGTGGTTCAGTTTGTGACTGTTAACCTTCTGACTGTATGCTTGGGAGAATTGCTGCAATCCCTGCAGACAAATATTTGATCCCATCTTATTGGGAATATTTGTATTGATTCTCAGCGCGCTACTTTGCGTTAGAGAAACTTCTGACTGTATACCACAAGCTGTACTGTTTGAGGTATTTTGTATTTTTGATGTAATTTGTTCTGTTTTCTTAGTTAGAACCGTTTATATTGAGCACAGAGTTTGTGTTTTGATATAATATAATACGAGTATCTCAAAGACGCGTTGTGAGCTATACAGAGGAACTTGGTTGGGTCTAATCGAATAAATTTTGGGTTCGTCAGTCCGTAGTTCCAACCGAATATTGGCTGTTCGGTCGTTACATGTGTATTAATATGACACTCCATACAATCCTTGAGACATTTTGCAAGAAATCTCTAAACTAATCAGCATCTCTGATTGTCTGAGAAATAGCGTCTTATTATTTTTAGTTTATAGACTTCTGAAAACACATGTTGTTATTACACCCTAAAATAAATGAAACGTCTTTTTTCCATAACATACCGCTATGAACTGGGGATCTTTCGTTGGTAAGGTTACTAGATGTAAATACAGGGCACACGCCCTCATGACAGTTAGTTAGTTAGCCAGACTGAAAACGATGCGAAACAATCTAAAAGGTGTTTGCTGTTGTTAGTTTGTCCGTTCGCAAGTTGGATGTACAGCTGAACCTTTATCACGTTCTGCCTACAGTTGTTTATGGATCTATGGAGACTAAGGTTTGACCAGTTGACTGTTGCTTTACGTTCCCGTGCTATGTTACCAAGGTTTACTGGACTCGTTTGATTAACGAACATGAGCGCTTAGTAGTTACATCTCTAAACAAGAGAACGCTCAACATAAATGCATAGAGTAAGCTCTGTGAAGCATGATTTCCGTCTGTTAAGTCCAACAGATTATGTTAAACCACGTGTAAAATCTGGTACCGTCTTCTTAACTAGTTGTTACTTGACTCACAATACTATTTCATTATTATCACTTGTATAGCTGTCAAAAAGTTTGTCGACAATAGATCAACCTTAAAAGGTATGCTTGACACAAACGTTTGCGAAAACCCCTATAGAGAGGCATCCCTCCCAAACAGTCTACCACAAGAGGAAATAATGAAAGATTCCCTTTTGTTCACGCTTTGCTCTCTTCATTCACTTAAGTTCACCTTTTCCCCATATTTTTTTGAGATGTAGTGCGCTATCACATGCCAAATACAAAGCACAAATATTATTTATGTACAGTCCTGAAGTAAAAAATTCGGCAACACTCTACGGGACCAATGAATAAATCAATGACAATTTATCTTGCTATAGCAAAAAGTAGGTATGGTTGCACGTCAGTGGGGTTGGAAAATAAACCGTTCACTTCTGTTCGGGCACTCAGGCAGTATCCCAGCTCACACATAAATCAATGATTATTAAAAGTGGGCGTAACTTCTTTGGCTAAAGGATTCTTTTAATTGTATTTTTACTAATCGAACTGTTTCCCACACAATAGAAATTATTATTTTACTCTCATACACTAATTTCCTTCTTTGTTGTTCTTTTCTTAATTATAAGCACTTTATACCCTCTATCTCTTTATGACATTACTGTTGTGTGGCGCAAATGTACTTGGTGCCCACTTGTATCATTATTTATGTGTTCGATTAAATAAATAATAAAGACGACCCCAGCTCATTGTCATTCGCAATACGATTTAAAAAATCAGTGTGTGCAAAGAAAGAAAATATAGTTCATGAATAAAACACAGTGAACGTAAGGCACAGAAAGAACTCGTGAACGGATCTTCAGGATTTCAAACGATAGTTCCGTTGACGATAATATTTTAGATACATCCTTACCTTACGAGAGGTACCATCCTGTTGAAAGCTCTAAATAACCAGTTACAAATGCCTTAAAACCTCAGTGAACATATTTTAGTTCTTGTATAAACGATAAAGTCTGTGGAGAACAGAAGGGATTTATAATAGCGATATAGAGTCTTTCTCACAGATATTT